CAGGGGACATCTAGGTCAATTGGCATAACAAAGCTTATTAAGAAAATGTTCTGCATCCTACTTTGGTGAGTGGCGTCTGGGGTCTTAAAATCTAGTGAGCAGCCATCTAAGAGGCATCAATTGGTCCCAACCCACCTGGAGTAAAGGAGATTGAATAACACCAAAGACACAAGGAAAGTATCAGCCCAAAGAGACAGAAAGGCCCATATAAACCCGGGACTTCATCAGCCTGAGACCAGAGGAACTAGATGGTGCCTGGCTACCACCAATGACTGCCCCGACAGGGAAAACAACAGAGTCCCTGATGGAGCAGGAGAAAGGCGGGGTGCAGAACTCAAATTCTAGTAAAAAGAGCAGACTTCATGGTCTGACTGAGACTGGAGGAACCCCAGAAAGCATGGCCCCCGGACTCTCTGTCAACCCAGAACTAAAAAAATTCCTGAGGCCAACTCTTCAGACAAAGATTGGACTGGACTGTGGGACATAAAATGATACTCACGAAGAGTGTGCTTCTCAGCTCAAGTAGATACATGAGACTAAATGGGCAGTTTCCGTCCAGAGGTGAGATGAGAAAGCAGAGAGTGTTAGGAGCTGGCTGAAAGGACACAGGAAATCCGGGGTGGAAAGGAGGAGTGTGCTGTCACAGTATAGGGAGAGCAACCAGGGTCACATAACAATGTATGTATAAATTTTTGTATGAGAGACTAACGTGAATTGTAAACTTTCACTTAAACTACGACAATAAAAGAAAATGTTATGCATCCCACTTTAGTGTGTGGCCTCTGAGGTCTTAAAAGTTTGTGAGCGACCATCTAAGATGCATCAATTGGTCCCAACCCACGTGGAGCAAAGGAGAATGAAGAACACCAAAGACAAAAAGCAAATATTAGCCCAAGAGACAAAAGGTCCACATAAACCAGAGACTCCATCACCCTGAGACCAGAAGAACTAGATGGTGCCCAGATACCACCAGTGACCTCCCTGACAAGGAACATAACAGAGAGTCCTGGATGGAGTGGGAGAAAAGTGGGGACAGAGATCAAATTCACGTAAAAACACCAGACTTAATTATCTGACAGAGACTGGAGGAACCGCCAGAACTATGGCCCCCAGACGCACTGGTAAACCAGAACTAAAACAATTCCCGACATCCACTCTTCAGACAAAGATCAAACGGGACTATAAAACAAAAAAAATAATACATGTGAGGAGTGTGCTTCTTAGTTCAATCAGATACATGAGACCAAATGGGCAGCTCCTGTCTGGAGGCGGGATAGAAGGCAGGAAGGGTCAGGAGCTGGCTGAATGGACACAAGAAACCCGGGGTGGGAAGGGGGAGTGTGCTGTCACATTGTAGGGATTGCAACTAATGTCACATAACAATATGCGTATACATTTTTGTATGAGAAATTAACTTGAGCTGTAAACTTTCACCTAAAGCACAATTGAAAAAAAAAAAAGTTTATTAGTGGTTACCAGAGGTGGGAGGGAGGGGGAAAGCGGGGGTTATTGATAATGGAGTACTGACTTTGAGTTTACAGTGATGGAAAAATTGCATTGACTAAGGGTAGGATTGCACAGTCCATAAATGTAATTGCTATCAACAAACTGTAGTTCTGTGAAATGCTGAATTGACAAAAGTGGTGTGATAAGTGTATTTACAATAGCGACCAAAAAAAAAGAAAACAGTGGCTGCTGAGGCTGCTTACGTACAACAAACACCTCGCGGGATTTGGTTTCTTGGTCTGGAGGTTTAGGATCGTGTCTCATGGGACATCCCAGTTAATTGGGATGTTTAGTGCTTCCGTTCCATCTTCTGGTTCATTGCGTAGTGCCTGGGGTCTTAAAAGCTTGCAAGCAGCCATCCCAGGTACAGCAATTGGGCTGTATTCACTCAGAGCAGCAGAGGAAGAAGCAGAGTCAGGAATAGGAGGAGGAAATGGAATGCGTGGCTAACTACCTCCAGGAACCACTGCCTCCTTTGCCATGAGACCAGAAGAACTGGATGGTGAGGGGCTACCATTACTGAACATTTTAATCAAATATTCTATGGAAGAATCTTGATCAAAAGGGGAAAAATACGGAACAGAATTTCAAATTCTCATGAACTCCAGACTTTCTGGAGCTATGGAGACTGGAGGAACCCCTGAAACTATTGCCCTGAGATAATCTTTAAACCTTACACCAAAAATATTCCCTGAATTCTTAAAACCAAACAATAGTTTAGCCTTGAGCATTATGCTCTTTTAAGATTTAGCTATATAGGATCAAGTTGACCACAGCAACTTGAAAGTTTAGATAAGAAACGTAGAGGGCAGTACATTTATGCTAATGGAGGAGGAACAACTCAGAAAAGGAGGGTGAGAAAGTCACACAACTTGAAGAATGTAATCAATGTCACTGAATTGTACACGTAGACATTGGTGATTTGGTGTATGTTCTGCTGTGTATATGCTCAACGACAACAAAAATTATATATATACATACATATAAGTGTCTATATATATATAAATATAAAACTGAAACCAAAACCTTTGCTGTCGATTCGATTCCCACTCATAGAGACCCTACAGGACAGAGCAGAACTGCCCCACAGGGTTTCCAGGGAGCAGCTATAAGGTCTCTATGAATCGGAATCTACTCAATGGCAACGGGTTTGGTTTTTTGTTTTTTTTACCATTTGACACTGAGTCTCTGGGTGGCATAAACGGTTAAGCACTCGACTAGTAACGGAAAGGCTGGGGGTCCGGACCTACCCAGAGGTGCCTCAGAAGATTGTTATTATTGCCACGGTTAGGTTCCAACTCATAGCGGCCCTATGTACAACAGAACGAAACACTTCCCGGTCCTGTGCCGTCCTCACAATCGTTATGCTTGAGCCCATTGTTGCAGCCACTGTGTCAGTCCATCTTGTTGAGGTCTTCCTTTCTTTTGCTGACCTTCTTACTTTACCAAGCACAATAACCTAACCCATTGCCATTGAGTCGATTTGAATCATAGCGACCATAGAGAACAGGGTAGAACTGTCCCATTGGGTTTCCAAGGAGCAGCTGGTGGATTCAAACTGCCGACCTTTTGGATAGCAGCCTGACCTCTTAACCACTGCGCCACCAGGGCTCCACCAAGCATGATAGGGTTGGCGATTTGCTTATAGGTCACAGCCTTGAAAACTTCTGTGGAGCACAGTTGTACTCTGCATACATGGGGTCTCCCCAAGGGCACCTAACAACAACGGCGACCATTTGACGCTATGAATTTGATATATTGATCTTGTTTACACCTGTTTCCCCCACTAGAACATAAACTCCCTGAAGGCAGGGTCTTTTTTGGTTTTTAATCTATTTTGTTCACGGCTGCATCCCCAGCACCTGGCACCATTATAACCAAAAAAATCAAACGAGTTGCTGTACAGCTGATTCCGACTCTGTTCTACTCTGCGCTCGATAGGATTTTCATGGCTGTGACCATTTGAAGCAGATTGCCAGGACTTTCTTCTGAGGTGCCTGTGAACTGCCAACCTTTCAGGTAGGTTCAAACAGTTAACCTCTGGGCTAGCAGCCCAGCTCTTAACCGTTTGCACCATCCAGAGACCACCACAGGTGGTCAGTAAGTACATTTTCAATGACTGAGGAAGGACAGCAGGAGGTAGAAGCACAGCGTGAGCACCTGACCCCAGCCTAGGGGGCAGAGAGAAGGTTTCCTGGAGGAGAGGACGTCCAAGGGAACCAGACAGACCGCAGAAAAAATTGTCAAGTCTAATAGGAGCGACTGACAGGCCAGTGAACCCCAGAAGCTCTTCCCAACCACAGGTCCAACGCCAGGCTCCAAAGTTCTGCTCACCTCGTGTGCGTAGGCCTTGCCTATTCCATCGGTGGCTCCGGTCACGACTGGAGGAGGGAAAAAGGAGCGGGCGGAGAGACGGGGGTGGTCTCTTCTCTTGGAGACCTTGCTCAGATGCTTCTCCAGCCTGCGTAGGGCTTTGCCTGGACTTAACCTCAGCTCGCCCCGGGTCCTTCCCTCGCCAGCTCGTTCCCCTCCCCTCCCCTCAACCCTGGTCCTTCTGGCGCTTTTTCTGGGTTCCAGATGCCTTCCCACACCTACCCTACTCACCTGTATAGGTTCAGGTTCGGGGGCTTCATGCCTCCCATGCCCCGGTCGCCTCATCCTTCAGCGCTCTTGCTTCGTGGAGCCTCCCCCACCCCAACCCTGCGCCCAAATGGGCAACTCTCATCTTTCAACTGTCCTCATTCCTGCGTCCCCCACCCCTACCTGCGGGGTGCGGAGCCCTCACCTGCCCAAGCTCCGTGCGCCCGGAGCCAAGGAGCGCCCCGGCGGACCGAGGGCAGCAGGAAAACATAGACGGCGCGGCCCGCACTCCACACCGCCCTCAGCATCAGCCACGCAGCGGTGAGGGCCCCCAGCACGCCCAGCGCGTCCCAGCACGCCACCATTGCAGCCGCCGCGGGTGGCCACCGGAGCCTAGCCTCAAATCCGCAGGCTGCCTTTAGGAGCTGCAGTGCGGGGACCCGCCTGCATCCCCTCCCCTTAGTCACGCCCATCAGCCAGTATATCGCCCTGCCAAGGAGCTTAGTATATCGCCCTGCCAGGGAGCTTATGCAGCCGGACATTGACCCAGGCAGCCTGTGGACCCAGTCAAGGTCCAGATGCACACCCTCTGAAGGGCACCCTTTGTTTGGGCCGCTGAACTCAGGTAACCTGCCATTTGGGGGCCTGATTTGATACTATCGATCAGCAGGGTTCCAGCTGAGCTTCCAGACTAAGGCATTCTCGAACTAGTGAATGAAAACCTTAATGAACAGCAGCCGAATATTCTCTGATATAGTGCCTGAAGATGATTCCCTCAGATTGGAAGGCACTCAAAAGACAACTGGGGAAGAGCTGCCTCCTCAAAGTAGAGTCGACCTTAATGACCTGGATGGAGTCAAGCTTTCCAGGCCTTCATTTGCTGATGTGGCACGACTCAAAACGAGAAGAAACAGTTGCAAACATCCATTAATAATTGGAACATGGAATGTACAAAGTATGAATCTAGGAAAATTAGAAGTTGTCAAAAATAAAATGGAATGCACAAACATCAATATCCTAGGCTTTAGTGAGCTGGTATTGGCCATTTTGAATCAGACAATCATCTGGTCTACAATGCCGGGAATGACAAATTGAAGAGGAAAGGCATTGCATTCACTGTCACAAAGAACATTTCAAGATCTATCCTGAAGTACAAGGCTGTCAGTGATAGGATAATATCATATGCCTACTAGGAAGACCAGTTTGACTATTATTCAAATTTATGCACCAACTACTAAGGCCGAAGATGAAGAAATTGAAGATTTTTACCAACTTCTATAGTCTGAAATTGATCTTCATGCAATCAGATACATTGATAATTACTGATGATTGGAATGTGAAAATTGGAAACAAAGAAGGATCGGTAGTTGGAAAATATGGCCTTGGTGATAGAAACGATGCTGGAGATCTCACGATAGAATTTTGCAAGACCAACAACTTCGTCATTGCAAATACCTTTTTTCAACAATATAAACGGTAACTATACGCATGGACCTCGCCAGATGGGATACACAGGAATCGAATCGACTATATCTGTGGAAAGAGACAATGGAAAAGTCAGAACAAGGCCAGGGGCCAACTGTGGAACAGAACTTCAATTGCTCATACGCAAGTTCAAGCTGAAGAAAATCAGAACAAGTGCCTGAGAGCCAAAGTAGCACCTTGAGTATATCCCACATGAATTTAGAGTCCACCTCAAGATAGATTTGACACGATGAACACTAATGACCGAAAACCAGACAAGTTGTGGAATGACATTAAGGTCATCATACGTGAAGAAAGCAAGAGGTCATTAAAAAGACAGGAAAGAAAGAAAAGACCAAAGTGGATGTCAGAGAGACTCTGAAACTGGCTCTTGAATGCCAGAGTAGCTAAAATGAAAGGAAGAAATGATGAAGTAAAAGAGCTGAACAGAAGATTTCAAAGGGCTGCTGGAGAAGACAAAGTAAAGTATTATGATGACATGTGCAAAGACCTGGAGTTAGAAAACCAAAAGGGAAGAACATGCTCAGCATTTCTTCAGCTGAAAGAACTGAAGAAAAAATTCAAGCCTCAAGTTGCAATATTGAAGGATTCAATAAGGAAAATATTAAACAACGCAGGAAGCATCAAAAGAAGATGGAAAGAATACACAGAGACACTACACCAAAAAGAATTGGTCGATGTCCAACCATTTCAGGAGGTAGCATATGATCAGGAACCGATGGTACTGAAGGAAGAGGTCCAAGCTGCACTGAAGGCATTGGTGGAAAACAAGGCTCCAGGAATTGATGGAATACCAATTGAGATGTTTCAACAAATGGATGCAGTACTGGAAGTGGTCACTCATCTCTGCCAATAAATTTGGAAGACAGCTACCTGGCCAACTGATTGGAAGAGATCCATATTTATGTCTATTCCAAAGAAAGGTGATCCAACAGAATGTGGAAATTATTGAACAATGCCATTATCACACACAAGTAAAATTTTGCTGAAGATCATTCAAAAGTGGCTACAGCAGTACTTCAACAGAGAACTGCCAGAAATTCAGGCCCCGTTCAGAAGAGGATGTGGAACCAGGGATATCATTGCTGATGTCACATGGATCTTGGCTGAAAGCAGGGAATACCAGAAAGATGTTACCTGTGTTTTATTGACTACGCAAAGGCATTCGACTGTATGGATCATAAGAAATTATTGATAACATTGCAAAGAATGGGAATTCCAGAACACTTGTGCTCATGAGGAACCTGTACATAGACCAAGCCGCAGTCATTTGAAAGAACAAGGGGATACTGCGTGGTTTAAAATCAGGAAAGGTGCACGTCGGGGTTGTATCCTTTCACTATACTTATTCAATCTGTATGCTGAGTAAATAATCCGAGAAGCTGGACTATATGAAGAAGAACAGGGCATCAGGATTGGAGGAAGACTCATTAACAACCTGTGTTATGCAGATGACACAACCTTGCTTGATGAAAGTGAAGAGGACTTGAAGCACTTACCTTTGAAGATCAAAGACCACAGCCTTCAGTATGGATTACACCTCAACATAAAGAAAACAAAAATCCTCACAACTGGATCAATAAGCAACATTGTGATAAACGGAGAAAAGACTGAAGTTGTCAAGGATTTCATTTTACTTGGATCCACAATCAACACCCATGGAAGCAGCAGTCAAGCAATCAAAAGACACATTGCATTGGGCAAATCTGCTGCAAAAGACCTCTTTTAAGTGTTAAAAAGCAAAGATGTCACTTTTAAGACTAAGGTGCTCCTGATCCAAGCCATGGTGTTTTCAATGGCCTCGTATGTACATGAAAGCTAGACAATATGAATAAGGAAGACTGAAGAATTGACGCCTTTGAACTGTGGTGTTGGCGAAGAATATTGAATATACTACCAAAAGAACAAATAAATCTGCCTTGGAAGAAGTACAGCCAGAATGCTCCTTAGAAGCAAGGATGGTGAGACTACATCTCACATACTTTGGACATGTTATCGGGAGGGATCAGTCCCTGGAGAAGGACATCATGCTTGGTAAAGTAGAGGATCAGCAAAAAAGAGGAAGACCCTCAATGAGATGGATTGACACAGTGGCTGCAACAATGGGCTCAAGCGTAACAGTTGTGAGGATGGCACAGGACTGGGCAGTGTTTCGTTCAGTTGTACATGGGGTCGCTATGAGTTGGAACCAACTCGACAGCACCTAACAACAACAACAATAAATGACAGATAAATAGATAGTCCCTGGGTGGTGCAAATGGTTAACATGCTAGGCTGCTAACTAAAAGGCTGGAGGTTTGAGTCCACCCAGAGTCACCTCGGAAGAAAGGCCTGGCGATCTACTTCTGGAAAATCAGCCATTGAAAACCTATGGAGCACAATTCTACTCTGACACACATGGGGTCCCCATGAGTGGGAATCAATAAATAACAATAAATATTTATGTCCCAGAAAGGAAGACATAATGCTTAGGGGACACTGAACTTCTGTTAAGGGTGGTGGAAAAACTCGGGAATGATTATTGGTGTGGGTGAATAGCAAGATGAACGTAACTAACATCAATAATAAAATTTTTTTTTTTAAGGTTTGTGTCCCATTCCTGCGAGTTCTCCATTCATCTGGGGGATGGGGAAGGACATTCTGGTGAAGCCAAATTTGCTCCACAATCACTTTAGTCTGGAAATGACACACCTCACTTCTACCCACAGGATCCCTGCTGGCGCAGCAATTAAGCACTTGGCTGCTAACAGAAAGGCTGGTGGTTCGAACCTACCAGCAACTCCACTGGAGAAAGATCTGGCAGTCGGCTTCCATAAGGATTACAGCCTTGGAAGCCCTGGGGGACGGTTCTGTGTCCTATAGGGTCACTATGAGTTGGAATGACTCCCAGGCAACTGGTACTGCTGCCTACTGCCCACATTCCACGGATGAGAACTCGTCATTGGTGCAAGGGAGACGTAGTCTTTGATTGAGGAGTCCTTTCCTGGTGCAAAAGAAGAGCAGGAATGTTTGGTCAGCTGGTCATCCCAGCACACCCATGTTCAAAATGCTATCACTTGTTGGCGATGAGGTGAAGACATTGGAACACTGCTGGTGGGAATGTAAAATGGAGTAGCTGCTATAGAAGTTTGGTAATTCCTCAAAAAGTTAAACATAGAATTACCGTAACCTCTCCCCTCCCCAATATTGCCATCCAGTTGATTCCAACTCATAGTGACCCTACAGGACAGAGTAGAACTGCCTCATAGGGTTTCCAAGGCTGTAATCTTTGCGGAAGCAGATTGCCACGTCTTTCTCCCACGAATCCCCTGGGCGTTCCAGTTACTGACCTTTTGATTAGCAGCCTAGCACTTAACCACTGTGCCCCCAGGGCTTCTAGAATTATCATATAACCTGTCAATTCCACCCTTAGATTATACCCAAAAGAACTGAAAGCAGGGATGAAAACAGATACTTGCACACCAGTGTTCATTGCAGTGCTGTTCACAATAGCCAAAAGAAGGAAACCCCACTAACGAAGGTAGGAAAGGAAGTTTATTACTCACACATGGTGGAATGCTCCAGGAAGGACTAAGGAGAGCACAAGCCAGTCCAAAGGGCAAGATCAAAGCAGGATGTAACACCCTTCGGTCTTAGTTATCTAGTGCTGCTGTAACAGAAATACCACAAGTGGGTGGCTTTAACAAACAGAAATTTATTCTCTCACAGTTTAGGAGGCTAGAAATCCAAAATCAGGACACTAGCTCTAGGTGAAGGCTTTCTCTCTCTGTCTGCTGTGGGGGAAGGTCCTCATCAATCTTGACGAGTCTAGGAGGTTCTTAGCACAGGGACCCCAGGTCCAAAGGATGCAGTCCACTCCCAGCTCTTCTTTCTTGGTGCT